ATCCCGATCAGTATTCCCTACGCAGTTAGGTTGTGGGCAAGAGCCCCATGTAGCACCCTGTAAAAGGAGGTGTATTTTTATAATACATCAGCAACTGCACAGTACCTGCCCATGAGTCAGGAAAAACCTGTGGTCTTATGAAGCCTAATGAGGGACAAGACCACAGTGAACAAGATGTGAACTATCACCGGTTACCCTTTATCATCAGGAAACTGTGTGTAAACAAGTGTTTTCTGTGAAGCAGCTGTTATGCAGTGCCCCCCTTCCCTCCCCCTGCCTGGTTTTCCGGCAAGGCAGTTAGTTGATTTTATAGATTTTAGTGATACTTCCTCATCTAGAGCACACATCCATAATATTTTAGACGTGATGTTGAACACTTACTTGAGCATATGACACCAACTTCATTTCCATGTGAACATGATTGATCTACATATGGCATTTTCGGGCAGTACACAAGGTTAGACTCATTCCCCCGACACTGGAGCTCTTCAGTCCAAACGGGCCCTTGTCCTTCTCCAAAGCGAGCTCCTCTGGGGGTGGATACAGCTGTTCCGCACTGTAACTGGTTGCAGAGGACACTGGCAGCCTTGAGATCAAAGTGGGAATCACAGATGCTTTCCCAGGCGTCTCCATGTTTTATCTCCACACGTCCTACACAGGTTCCAGGTCCTCCAATCAGATGGGCTTGAAAGTGACCTAGGAAGTCAACAAAGGTAGGAGTTTTCAAGGTGCTAGTTTAGACCTGGACACCCCTCCCTGAGAGGTCTTTTATGAAGAGCCCGTTGTCAGGGATGCTGATGAGGCAGAGCAGTGTGGGCCCAGTCCTGTCAGAGACATCGAGCAGGCAGGCCAGCCTGAGCCAGGTACCACAGCAGCCACACCTGCAGCAAACCACAGCTAATAAAATCTGGCCCAAGGTAGGAGCGACAAGTATATGGGTTGGTTGCTGGGAGCACCAGCTATACAAGTAGCAGCAGCTGGGGCCCTGGGTCTGCAGGCCAGTCAGCAGTTTTGCTGAGCAAGCCTCCTGGTTCCTAACTACTTTGACCCTCCTAGTTCCTGACCCGGGTTTAACTCTGCTTTTGGCCTGTGCCCTGTGGATTGCTGCCCAGGTTGATATTTCACATTTGGTCCCTGCATCCGGATCCTGGACTGTGTCGCCGACTCTGTCTGGATCTTTCTCTGCCTTT